CTGAGGGGGCAAAGTCTCTGCGGGCGGCGGCGCAGCGGGCTCGGCTGGCGGGCCCCCCCCCCCCCCCCCCGGGGGGGGGGGGGGGGGGGGGAGGCGCGGCCCCCCCCCCCCAGGGGCGGGGCGGCGAAGCCCCCACGGCCATGGGCAGCGGTGGGCCGGGGTAAGCCCATCCCATCGCCCTGTCCCCCAGGGCACCCTGCTTGTGCGGCAGGGGCACCCGGCTGAGGCAAATGGGCTGCTGAAGCATCAGCCTTACCCCCGAAAAAAACCCCCAAAGCCCATCAGGGTGAGAAGTGGTCCATTGCACGCTTGCGTGTTTCACCCCTGATGAAACCGGGGTGGGAGAGCGGGAACGCGATGGTGGGAGGGCAGGGACTGGCGCGGCCCGGGTTAGATGGGGTTGCACTGGGTGGGACCGTGCCGTCCGTGAACCCCTTGGTGTCAGACAAGTGTTGGCACCGTAGGGCGCTGCTGATGGTATCCTTAGAAACGTACCTGGTCGCTTTAGTCAGATGCCCTCCTCTAGTTCTCTATTCACCATGAAGAGGAAAGCTATTTCCTTGTGATCCGAGTATTGCAGGCTAAGTTTCTTGTGTTGAATTTTCTGGAAGAAGTCCAGAGGGTTTGCACTTGCTCCCCAAGAGAAAGTCAGCTGAAGAGATGCTTTCTGAGAGATCTTCTAGTGCTACTCAGGTCTGTTCAAGTTATGGGCTATAACCATACTGGCTACCAGTTCAGTTGCCATTCAGAGTAACTAGACTGCTGGCCGGGTACAGCATAGTCATGAGATGCTGTAAACTCATCATTTCATTCACTCACCAGACAGGATGATGCAAGTTCAGTTATTTGCAGTTTGCTGATGGTCTTTAGAGTGGGGCAAGCTGTTACTACAAACCTTGGCACAGGGATGAAAAGAAGTTCTCTTCTAGATCTATCTTTCAGAAGAGAAAAACCCAATCATCTGACAGTAAAATAAGATATTTTTAATAACTGCCCTTGTGTGGACATCTGTGAGGAGTCCAGTAGGATCCTAATGTGTCAAACCATCTTGGCAGCCTCAGCAGTCAGTTTCATTTAATGATGCTTCTTCAGAATGAAAAGTTTTCAGGCTTCTCGTTCCGAGCTTGCTTCATTGAGAAGTAAGACCACTAAATGTTCGCAGACCGTCCAGTCTGATAGTTGAAGTATAACTTTTGTTCCCTTTCTCCCAGCATCACTTGTGTCTGATGAGAGCTGAGGTGATCTCTGCACCCTTGCTTTATTCTGACTTTGGAGCAGTGTGATATCTGTGTAAGAAAGCTCCTCTTGGGTAGTGGTATTGTAAGCTGCTCTTGCAAGCCTTATCAGTGAGTTCCTACTGAACTGTCATCAGCAGATGAACTCTGTGGTTCCAGGAGGGAGAAGAAAGGGGAGAGAAGATCAAAGGATTACCGGGAGATATTTCCTAGGGAGGAGCAGAACCTTGTCAGTGTGTGTATCTGTTTCTTGTAGATACAGCAGGTAAATTAATAACGATTTCAATCTATAGCGTAAAAGCTGCAAGTAAGAAGCACAAGGCAAGGTACCTGCCTGTAGCTCTGGGGAGAGATAACAGCATGGCTTTATGCTGTTGACTTCTCAAATGGCAACCTGCGATGGGATGAACAAGTGTGTTGCTGCAGCTGGCCAGGTGCTGCTAATGTTGGCCATGTCTGTACTCATCAACGCAGGGAGGCTGGGGAGAAGCTGGTTATGGTCAGCTTGCTGACACCGACAAAGATCTTCCCGAATCTAAGCTAGTTCATTCCATAGATTTAACGGCTACTGACGTACAACACAATTATTCGCCTCCTGTGTCCAAGGGACCCACATCTGCTCAGGTCTTTATGTTACTCCTGGAAGTGCAGGAAGCTTGGTGCAAAGATTGGCCCTTGTTCATTCAGGTGCTTACTCGCACAAGAGCCCTCCAAGCTGTCGCCACCGCCTTCCCTGTTGAATGTCCCCATCTGTGGAACTTGGTCTGATCCAACTTTGAACAAGCTTCAAGTGAGATGCCAGATGCGTTTATTTGGATTAGGGTGGTTTTTGTTGTATTAGCGACAAATGGAAAGAGGGTTGCATTTGCTTGCAGAAATGTTAATACTGTGATGCTGCCTGTTGTGGGTGGCATATTGCTGCTATAGTGATATGTTTTCTTAATCGTTGCTTTTAAATGTCCTTTCTATGTGTCCCTTGTGTCGTATCAGCCGGGCAGTAGGGAACAAGTACATATTTGGGTTCAAGCATGTTTGTGCTTTTTGTCTTTTCTCAGCCACCATCTTCCCCCCTTCATGAAGGGGGACAACGCCACTGAGTTGTGCAGTTGCCTTGTCCTGTGTGGTTGTGTTTTCACTGGTGCTAGTTAAAAACTACAGCGGCCTCAATCCTTGTGTCTTTTTAACAGAGCTTATTTTTAGGAAAAGCAAAGAAATAATTGAGTTCTGATCTTTTGTTGCTGACGAAGGCTTTGACGGTAATCTGTTTTGGTGTACGCACCTTGGTGTTTGTATTTTAAACCCCCCCAAAAACCAGGCTGACTCCCTTTAACAATGCAAACTTGTGAGGTTCCAGACAGAAGTGTGTTGCGATGCCTGGAGTACTGCTGCTGTCCCTGCGTTTCACATCAGCCCCCTGCCCTCCCTCCCCCCCTGCTTTTTAAAAAAAAAAAAAAATTATTTACAGGGAATGGCAACAATTGCCCAGAGGTTTTGCTTGTTTAATGTTCTCCTTCCTCCCCGGACGGAAACTGTAACTCTTCCCGTAGCTTCCCTCTCCAGCTTCCTTTCGCTTTCTCCAGCTGTTTGCTTGCTGCTCCTTTCCAAACCCCCTGGTACTCCAGTCTCCCTGCTGACAAGGGGTGGGGTCTCTGCTCCGCTGTGATGCTGACAGGCGCGAACGTGAGCCGATGCACCCCGGCAGCCTGGGCCAAGCCGCCCTGCGACTGGCTTCCCACGCTGGGAGAGCCTGCGGCCATCACCCGGGGTGCCCGCACCCGCACCTCCTGGCAGTCCAACTTGCCTCAAACTCTCCCCGTGACATGCGCGTGGGCTTGTACCACCGTGGGCCTTCACAGGGGCTATAGTTTGATGTTATAAAATAAGGGGATGGGAAGAGGAAAAAGGTCAGTGCTTGTAGAAGGGGCTGCTGGCTGGAAGGACTTTCTTACCTGTTCTCCCTTCATGATACATTATATACATATTCCTGTGCCTAAGGTAGTTGCATACTTCGTCCATCTTCTGGGTTTTTTTTAAGTATGGCCTGCCATGGTTATAGAAATCTATGTTTAAAAAAAAAAAAAAACCAACCCCCCAAAAAACTATTTGGAGCAGCAGTCTGTGGACCTTTTGGCTGACGTTTTCCGGAGACTGACTGGGGTGTGTGTGTGCTTCTGTGTTGTGTTCCCACTCTACAATTTTCTTTCCCCCCCCATCCAGATTAGCGAGGCATCTACAAAAAGAGGCGCAGTCTCAGCACAACAACTCGGAATTCACAGAAGATCAAAAGGTGAGTATTGCTGTTTGCTCAGTCAAGGAGCTTGACTCATAGCTGTTGATGTGTACTACGGTTCTCTGTATGTCTCAGACCAGAGCCTTACGAGACCTTTTTTCCTCCCTCGATATACACAAAAAGAAACAGAGCCCAGCATGGCTAAAACAGTTGCTGTCATCAGATGTGACAGATGCTCTGCTGTGTAATATTGAATGTCACGCATGCTGGCCAGAGTCCTGCATAACCTGCGTGTTTCTTTTTTTGGGTGACCTTTTGATAAGTTGCTTATATGACTTTAGCACAATTTATGTTGTGAAGCCTGAATACAAAACATCTTGACCTGCAGACATTGAGGGTGTGTGAGGAGGATGTTAGCTTAACATGTAACACCTGACTGGGAAGGGTCCTGGCAGAATACTCCCTACTAGTCTCTTAGAATGTTAATTGTTTATAGTCTTTCAAAATATTGAAATTACTTTACTCCTTCCTCCCTCCCCTCCGTTCAAAAGGCTGTTTCTTGTCTCAGCATCACATTAATGCAATTCTGTGACAGGATTTAAGAGGAAAATGCCAGCTGAGGTCTCATACACTCAAGCATTTTCAGCAAAATAAAATCTTTTGAGGTAGGAGACCTTGCTGAATTTTCATGTCTTGTTTAAAGGCATGTATTTCTTAGGAATACTAAATTAGAGAACCTCTGTATTTCCAAGTCATAAGATCACTTGTCTGAGCGATGGCGTTGCCTGAAGATTGACGTTTTGCTAGCCCAGAATCCCACCTATGGTAACAGGGTGCTAGAGTAATGGGATCTGTGTTTGGAAATGTTGGTCCTGAAAACGGATCCTGACTACAGAAATTGGAAATTAACTTGATGTGTTTAAAGAAACTCATTACGAAGAAACACACCTTTACACATAGCCTGACAGTGGTTCGTAACTGTTTCCTCAACATGTACCAATAAGAAAAGCAAAGAGATGGTCTTTCATGTTCTGTTTACCTTCTGCAAAGAAGATGATAAGGCTCGTGATCATCTTAAACTGAGTCATAATCTTGGAGAAGGACTGGGTCCACTTTTCCTGACCTGAAGGCTTCGGAGCCTTCTTAATGTTGGACAGCTGTTTACTCTTTGATCGCTTCTGCTCTCTATCCCTTGCTGGTAGCTTTCCCCATCATTCTCAGCTATAGTCATCTTTACTGCGTGTTTCCCCTCTGTGGATACTTTTGAAAATATGGTTACTTCATGAAGGCGAAGCTGTTAATCTCGCTTCTGGAGGCATCATCTCCTGTGAGTATGGAAACCAGAACCACAGAGGGCTTTGCTTCCAGATGTTCCCTGAATCTTGTGGAAAGGACCTTGGACCAGATTGTGGAAGTGAGTGAGGTCAGCCATGAGGGAAGGCCTGGGGGGCTCAGGAAGCAGAGATAACTGACCTCAGATGTTAGATGCGTAACTGCGATCACGTCTTAAGGCGACAGTCTTCTGAAAAGAAAAAATAAGGAGTGGCTGTTCTGAATCCTTGCAGAGTGATACCTGTTTCTAAAGCCGATATAACTTACAAAAGAGGTTGACATTTATATCACTTTTTTTTGCGGATCAGTAAGGGACTGATGCACTGAAACTTTGAGCCTGGTTATCAGATGGTGGTGCCTATTTCATTAGCCACATACACAGCCAAATTCCCCAACATTTTGTTGAGAGAGCATTCTCTGTCCTTCCGCTACCATAAGGAATGCTATCCACATAATCTTGCTATTGCTTTGCAAGAAGCACTTAAAACTCTGTACAGCAAAATCTTTTAGTCTGATGTTAAGCTCCTTGCTCTTCTGGCCTTCCCTATTTCTGCAGGAGCTTGGCCAGCATAATCTAGTGATCGTGACCAATTACTGTCATCGCTAGTATCATTCACGTGGCGTTTAGGAGTAGAGTTCAGCACGCTTCTGGGTTTTGAAGCAGTTTGGTTAAATAGAAGTGTATCTTCTCACTTGCTGCCCTTCAAAAAATCTACATACCAAAACACCTACTTTTGCTCAACAAAGTTCCTGCCAATGCATCCATCAGCATGCTGTTTCCTCCTGGTTCTGGAAAGTCTCCTTCCCTAATATCTTGTCTTTCTGTGGTTCTGTGTGCCATATAAGAGCCACCTGTTTATTTTTCTGAATGTAGAACAGTGTGTAAACTTCAGGGTTTGCTTATCTGATATTACTGGCCAAGGCCGTGCACAGAATTTCATAGATTGGAGAAGGCAAGGCTGTGAAGCTAATTATGATTTCCAGTTGCTTGATCTACCCTCATTCCAGTTTTTGTGTAGGTTTACAGTTAGCTGTTTTCCAAAGGATCACACGTACTGCTGAGAATTACTTTGAGGCTGTCATTGTTTCTTACTTGACACGCTCTGTGGGGAAGATGGATTTCAGCAGTGATTCCTCTGTACCCAGGGAAAACTACTAGCTTTACAGCTACAGGGAAAGGACAAGGCTAGGTTAAAATCCTCAGCCCCATCTGTCTGTATAAACTTTTACCATGTTTGGGTTTATTTCGTGCATTACAGGAGGTGTTACAGTGCAGATACGGCCACACCACAATTGATGGTGTGTTACTTGCTAATGTAATCATACAGTCTGTTGATCTAACAGCACTTGACAGATACCACCAATTTCTTTCCTAGGCATACTGTGATCCAGATATCATTTATCTTATAATAAATGTGTTGTTTATGGTAAGAATTCAGGCTTTTAAATATTAATATCTTGCCTTTTGCTATTGATCTGAAGAGTCTGTTTTGAATCACTGTATGCTACTTCCCTTGATAGAGCAGACTAGACTCCACAATTTGCCATTCATTCCTGGATTTTCAGCTTCTGGGGGGGGTGTCATCTTATATCCACTGCTGGACATAATTCTGGAGTTTTAGTCCTTAGGGAAGGCTCTGTCTTGACTTGGATAATTGACAGTGCTGGAATCTTCATTAATGATTGTGAATTTTAGTGAAGAATTTCTCTGCAGATAAATACTGTAAACAACAAATCATTGTGTTTAAATCTAGTCACCCTGCAACAGCTTTCAGGAGGCTGTGCAACAATTTCATCACCTAGAAGCTGTGTGTATGGAATATTAACAGATACGGTTACTGCTGGATTTACTTCACTCTTAACATCTGCATCCTGCTGTTCTTTATTTTACCTTCATTCTCTAAAAAGCCCATCTTCATTCATGATCAGCCACTGTGTTTTGCTACAGGAGTTGTTCCAGTTAGGTTTGGCCATGGTTGTCAGCTTGCCTCCAGCTATAGTTACTCTCACCCACTTCTCTATGCAATAAATTTGACCTTTAAAGGCCTCTTCTCACCACAGTTATTGCTTCTCGTGTAACTGTTTTTGTGCTAGGCTGAGTTTTCGGCATTACTAGAAAATCATGGGGTTTTTTTATGCAATGGTAACTTGCTGAAATAAGAGCACTGTTGAACAGTCTTAGCGTGATTCATTGAGCTACTGGTCTCCTAACAGCCTAGACCTCTCTTTAAAGCCAAACGCTGCTCTGGCTCCGTATTTATGCAAACATCTTTGACTGCATTACAGTTAGCACAGTCATTACTCACACAACTGCGCTGAAGAGACCTTGACTACGAGATCAACTGACTTTTTCCCTTTCTAGTCACGAGTTTACATAAAACTGAATCTTAACTATTTTAAACTAGCAAAGTTAATTATGGCTTCAGTCATTCTAATGAGATGCAGAATGTTTTCCCTGCTGCAGAAACGAGCCTTTGCATGGGATAGTTGCAGCTGAAAATGATAGCAGTGTTTAGCTGCATTTTTAACTTTTGGTTTGGGTGTGGTCCCTTAAAAAAATAGTTATGAATAATGCCTGCTGGGAGCTTGCCATATTTCAATAGATTCCATATAAAACCTATTCTTTACTATTTTAAGACTCCCAAACTCTCTTCAGTTAATCTGTTTCTAGAGCCATTATTGCCCTTCAGCCCCCAGGAGCCAGAGGACACGCATTTTGTATGGCTGTTTGTCCTGTTAGGAGGTACCTAGTTCAGGCAGTTCGAAGAATACACCGTTACGAATCTGCAGGATTGGGAACAGGGGTGTTGCTGAGCTTATCAGTGAATTGACAAGGAGACAGGGGTTGAGCTGTGCTTCTTGAGACCTCATTTACGGCGTGGGCTTAATGCTCTGCATGTGAGGCAGGGCGGGGAAGAGCCGTGTGAAAATCTGTTGACACGTTCTGATTCCGTGGTGAGGCACGGATACTGCGTGCTGGCACCCTGCGAACTCGTAGCCCTCTTTCTGTGGTGCAGTCGGAGGGGTTTTGATCTAACACGGAATGGGCATGCTCTTTGCTCAGCAGTCAACACCCAAACCATCAGAACAGCTGGGTTTTTGCAAATGTTAGAGCTGTAGTCAAACCTCAGAGATTTCCCCTCCCTTCCCTAGGGAACCTCTGGATTCCTTTCTTTTACCCATTACTTCACACCTTTCTCTTTAAGAGTCTACCTTTGCAAATCTATCTTTCCACATGTTCTCAAATATAGAAAGGAATTCCTTTTGTTACGCTGCAGCCGATTAGATGGATGTAATCCATTCTCACCCTAGGGACTGAGAATCTGCCTCTGTAGTACTACCTGGTGTCCTCCCATCCAGCCTGAAGGTACATGTAAATCCACAACACCCATGTGTGGAGTGTGGGTCTGAAAGTGTCAAAATGACTCCAGGACTGTACGTACTCCTTTCTTTTTCAAAAACCTGTGTTTTTCCAAGCTCTGCTGGAGATCCAGCTATGGATCTCTGTAATGTAGCAGAATTTATTTCAGGGAGGTGGAAGTTTGTTGACTGAACCTAGACTACAAAATGAACCTCGACAGAAATGGAGCTGTAAGATTTTTACTCTGCCGTGTTGTATGCAAGTATACGGTCACGTTGCTCTATATTAAAATTCCCAAACAGCACACTACTGCACGTGCTGCATCTAGGCAGAAGAGAAAACAATGTGTGTCCTGTGCTAATACGCATCCCTCACTACTTTCCTGGAAGGTGCTCAAAAGAACTGAATTTTTTATAAGACCTCCATCCAATGGGTAGTAATATAAACTACGAGGATGTAAAGTCTGGGCTAATGCCATGTTGTAACAGAGTGTTTAAGACGACAGGAGATACCAGTTGGGGAGAAATGGCTTTGAAAGCTTTGATGAGCCTGTGGTAGCAGATGAAAATCAGGTATCTGAGACTTTTATGCACTCCAGGTGTTGGCTCTGCCCTTGAGGTATTGATGTCTGATCTGCTTACGATTCAGCTCCTGAACTCTTTCAACTTTCAGTGTGGCGTAAGGTGAACTGAAACTGGAACCACTTAGCTTTTAGCCCAGCCTATTGAAACTAGTGGTGGCCCAGGAGCTGACTGCGAAGCAGTTCTGACTGCAGGAGAGTCAAGACTGGGGAAGGTAGCTGTGAAAGCACAGCCAGTTTTTATCTGCTGCGACAGATAAACCTCTTGGAGCCCTAAAATGTAACCCTCCTTTAAAGGGAAGTTTTGGCTTTTGATGGATACTGCGTAACTTGCCAGATGCCCATACTCTTGAAGCTCTTTGATGCTAGAGTTGTGCTCTAGGAAATCTTTTCCTCCCCTTGCATCCAGCTTGGGGGGAGCTGGTTTTATACTGCCTGGTTTAAAAGGAGAGAATGAGTTACAGGTGCACATTTCAACTTTTATCTTCCTTCTGAAGGGAAATCTTAGTTTGAAAATAACCTGCTTTTCTTTATAGCTTCACTGTTGCTATTTTTCTTGCCCTATAAATGTTCCACAGAGCATTTTGAATTATATTTGGCCCTGACCTCTGCAGGTAGACTTAGTTTTTCTTCACTAAAACCTTTTAGTTAATGAACAAACTTGTGATGGTCAAGCAAGGTAAAATACGCTGTGCAGTCGTGTCCACTTGATGTCAGTTATGGAAGTCTGAATTCCTGAATTGATTTTTTTCAGCTGGTAGTAATAGAAAGAAATGTGACTGTTGCTGGAGCTTCTTACTTTGTGAGATATAAAAGCTTAAGTAGCACTGTCTTCAAAGTAAGACTGCTAGTAATGGGCTATCTTGAAGCTCTTCGTTCTCTTCTACATTTTTAAATAAAAATGAGATATTACTTCACGGTTCTGCTCAGGGATATTTTAGATGGCTGAGAAGTTTGAATCAAATAATCTATTTCATGCTTCACTCAGAGTTTAAATGTCTTAAAATTACAAAAATAGAAAGTTAGAAAAATAATTCACCTTTGTACTTCCTCTCCCACCGAAACCCACAAAAGCAGACCGTGTTTTTTCAGTGCTGAGATACTGGGCTTCTGTAACTTCTGAGGAGGGCTGGCTTGGTCTGCTGAGATCGTAAGCCCAATAGGGGAACTGTAGATGTGACTCCTAAAAGGGCAAATTAGAACAAACCACTCAGGTTCTCAGAAGGTAATATACTGGTTGGTTTGGATTTTTTTTTTTTTTCTTTCTCTCCCCTATCACTTCAGAGCAGCTGAATTTATAAACAGTTTGTGATGTGGTAGGTGTTATTACAGTTTCTGCTGAGTGAATGACCCCCATCTGTGTTGATGAGCTGTGGGAGGGGAGTTAAGTGGCAGATGTCTGTTTCATCTATTGCACTTTCTGAAAATCTTGTTTGTGTATAGAAAAGCTTTTGATGCTGAATGATCTGGTACTGAATAATAGAGCTGAAATCTTCGCAAGAAAAAGCAATTGTTCATATCTATATTTTTAAAACTGTGAATATGGAAGAATACAGTTTCAGTACTAAATTAAGTTTGTGGTGTTTTTTTTTTCCTTTCAGAAAACCATAGCTAAAATTGCAACATGCTTGGAACTGAGAAGTGCAGCTTTACAGGTATAGCTCTTTTTCCTATGTGACTTCATACTTTAGTGATAGGTAACTGTAGAGCTTTTTAAAACTAGTTTAGTGTCTTCAGACATAGCCAAAACTTCTGAAAACAGAGTTAAGAAACCCTTGAACACCTGGACTTTCCAGGCTGTCAACATGATGCCCCAGGTGGCTGCCTTAAAAACCTTTAAGTGCTTATATGAGCATGTATTAGGGTTTGTACAGGAATTTAACTGCAGGTCTTGTGTCTTTGGTTCTTTGCCTTATTTTCCTCCTTCAGAACTGATTAGTTTGTCTTCCTAACCTGTGTGCAAGAGTAAAAAGATCCCTGGAGTGGCCCTTGCAGTAATTCAGCCGCTTCACAAATCGTAATAGAGCATGAGGAAGAATATGCGTGTAGAATAAAAATGACTTTGTAGCAGTCATGAAAACTGGCAGTGCAGTAGGCAAGTGTGTGAAAATAATGATTTAGAAGCTGCTCTTTGGGCTTTTTTCTGGATTGAAGGTAGGTGTCATGGAAGTGAATTTCATTTTCTCTCAGCACAATCTTATCCCCAAAACAAAAGAGAAGTGAGAGAAATTTCCAAAAGAATGTGGGTGGGATGAATCAACTGAAGCAAAGTTTGGGTTACTGGATCACCTCTTTACCAACAAAAAGTGGTGACAGGCAAATTTTGCATTGAGTTACTCACAGCAGCACTCCTGAGTACTTCATGTTGCTGTACAAGGTGCAGCAGCTCCACTGTGCTGCCTTCAGTTGTCTGAGAGGCTGGGATACAGTTGACCGTTTAGGCAGCATGCTGGAGCTGGACTAATGAGCTGGGGGCTGACCAGCCTCAAGGTTGTGCAGCGTTTGAAGAATTAGTTGGTTAGCTCTACCTGTCTTTCTATTTCGATCCAGCCTGGGGTATTTGAAGAGCGTTGCATTTGTTCTGAGTCACTGTGATTTTGTGATGAGAGCAGGCGTGTTCCACGGTGGGACAGCTTTGTGGGTCAGGTCACTTCTCAGACCAACAGCGGAAGACGCAGCAATGTCATAACTGGCCAAACTGAAGAGACGATGTCTTGCAAGAACAGCCTTCCTTGCTGTTGGTTCCTCAGCAGTAACTCAAGGATTTTATAAGCTCATGTGAGGGTACTAGAACTTCTCATCCACTTCACTTTGGGAGTGTTTTACTTGCTGCAGTTTTGTTATGGTTTCTTAGTGGAGATTAAAGCAGTTAGGAGTGTGGTCAACTCTTCCCATTCTTCTAACAGTATGGGTATAGCTGCTTTACTGTCAAGAAAAATCAAGAAAAAAATCAAGAAAAAAAAACCCTATCAGGCCTTAAAGAAATGTTGAAAACGAGAGGTAATCTTAAGAGATGCCAAGGGTGCAATGACATAATAGGTAAGACCTGATCCTCTGCCTAAAAAGGGATGTCCAGTGTCAATCCTCTTATTTGCACCCCTTTTCTTATGCCAGCTCTGCCGCTTGTCATCTCAGAATAGGCTAGTTCAGCTTGCCAAACTGTCAGTGAACTACCCTACAATAAAAAATTAAAAACTTTTCTGTTGAGTTAGTAAGTCAAATAGGCTTACTGAGAAGCAGATGTGCTACAGCCAGATGAGGAAACTGCATCATCAGAGTTGGAGAAAGGAGAGATGGGAATCCCTCTTCCATTTGCAGCGAGCTCTTAGCTGGGTGTGTTGTCAAGCTCATCCTGTATACTGTAATTTCTGCCAGCGTTACAACGTTAGATGTGTGTCTTGAACTGTGAATGCTCCTGTTGGAGCATCACTTTGCAGTGCAGTCTTACAGCTGATCTTGCTTCAGCATAACTTGATTGGGGAAGAATGAAAACAAGTCCCTCTGTCTTAATGTTCCTGTGTGTAATAAGTATGAAAGACCAACTAGTTGCTTTAAAAATATTTATCTTGCATTAGAGCCTGGAACATGGGATAAGTTTGTTCTCAATAAATGAGAAGTAATGTACTTTCCACCTCACCTGTGAACCTAGCCTCTGTTGGGGAGATTTTGTTTGTTGTTTTGGTTTTTTTTATTTAGGATGTCTGAGGGGAGGGTGCATACTAAGTTCTCACTCTTTCTTTGTAATGTTCTAGTCCACCCAATCACAGGATGAATTTAAGCTTGAGGATCTGAAGAAGTTGGAACCAAGTAAGTAGTATCTTTGTATTTTAAGTGAGTGACGTTTATCATTACAGTGGAAAATATGACAGCAGCATGAATACTGACTGACCACGATGTGATTTGACAGTAATGCTGGTTTTAGGTGGTTCTTCCAAATATCTGTTACCATGTAGACAAAACCTGATGTGTATTAAGGAACATAATGTGGGTAACTTCAAAGTATAGTAGTCCTAATGTTTCAGATAATGTATTTATCTTTATTCTCAACTAAGTAATTCTTTGCGTGCTGCTAATTTTTGCACAAAACAGTGATTTAAGCTAACAGTATATAATCAGCTGGAAAATTTACCTGCACATCTCTTATTCGAACTGAATTTCAACACTTTGTGGTCTTCCTCCTTGCAGCATGAAATTTATTTTTTCTTCCAAAAATATTTAACTTGTGCTCATGGTAGCCAATCACCTGTCACCTTCCACCAGAATGCTACCAGAGTAACGAAGTTAAGAGTCAAAGTGAGGATGTGAGTCAGTCTTTGAAGGGTTTTGTGTGATGTTGTTTTTTCCCAGCTGATCCTGGGTCAGTTCTTGGTATGTCAATCCAGAAATAACTTTTTCATGTAGGAAGTATCTATTTATCTGCTACATTTTCCTTCCCGTAACACTGGCTGCTTTATTCTGAAAGCACCGTTATGATCAGAGCTTCCACATCTAAGCAATATTATCCTAAATGCTAATGTTTCTGCTGTTCCTGGGGAACAGGAGAAGCGTCTTTCATGCTGGCAAAAGCTGGTTTTGTTTTGCTGCTGTCACAACTGTATCATTAACGGGGATGTTGGGGATAAACACAATGGGAAGGCAGGTGTTTCCACTTCACGAGTAAGCTGAGCTTCTCTGCACTCCCATTCTCTGAGTAACTGGCACAGGATCCTACAGGGAAGCTTGTCAAGAAGCAGGGCGTTGAATTGAGGTTCCTAGTGTCTCTACCAAAACATAGAGTCCGAATGCTTTTAAACTGTTCCCTGAAAATGGAAAGTGAAGGTACGTTACAAGACTGCTAGGTCTGTGAAGACCATAACTCAGGAAAGGGTCTAACCATGTGTTGGAAGTATTAGGTCTTTCTCTATCAGCTTGTTGCATGTCTGGCCTCTGCATCCTCTGAATTGGGATTATTTTGTATAGAGACTCCTGCTCTCTGTTTACAAAGTATTTAAAACGTTGTAATCATTTAATGACTGTGGATTTCGGACTCCATTGTGCAAATGCCCTGTAAGTGACTGAATGATGGAAGAGGAATCATGTTTTAATTGATCGAACTGGTCTACAAATCAAAGGAAGTGACTGTTGAAGGGTTTAGTCAGAATTTACATTCTGATGACAGATGTAAAGCTTCCCTTGAAATGCCTCCTTTTCTTAAAACCCAAAATTTCAGTTACTGTACAACAGTCCTGTTGCTTATCTTGCCCTCCCTCAGAGAATTGATTTTTAGCTGTCAAAAAACCGTTCAACAGTGTGAAGCGCATTCAGCCCACGCTGCATACAACAAGCAACTATATTAAAACGGAGGAAGAGTGTGTGGCCATCAGTTCTCAAGGACACCGAGTTATTTTCCTTGGCGGAGAACGGGTGCTTCTATGACAACAATTGAACATTGATGTTCTTAATGCTGCTGTCTGACTTGGATTGTTCTGGCCTCTTTCTCTCTGAATTGTGCCTTTGTTGTGTGGTTTTTAAGTATATCTTGAACAGAGTAAATCTTAATCAGGCCAACAGCAGCCTTTTCGTAAAACACACCGTGAAGTGTTTTAATTTGTGTGTTGTCAATTTTCTCTTGCGGTCCACCAGAAAAAGCTAAAGAATCTGGGCTGGCAATGCAAATAAGCAATTCCTTTGTTAGGTCAAGCCATTCTGTTAGGAATGAAAACAGCTATTCACACAATTTGGCTTGTTTTAATTACTTTTGTGCCTGAAGCTGTCAAAATGGCTGAGAAATTTGGTTTAGGTGTTGTTATAACAACCAAAGCCCTCAGATTTAACCTTTTTGTTTTGTTTTTTTTCCCCCTGGTGTTGTCAAGTTCTAACTTTTCCTACTTAAGCTTGCATTTCACGCTGCTTGGAAAGTGCAGCAGTTGGCTGGTTTTGTGTGTTTATAGGATTTGTCACTGAATCTTTTGTGCTAGAATAATGCTACAGGAGGGTCCATACATACAAATAGTTCTTTTGAGACTACGCTGTGTGAAATCATTGCTAACGCACTGGATCTCACAAATCCTTTTCTTGTGAAAGCTTCTACCAGTGTTATAATACAGGTTACAAACGGATAGGGTGGGTCATCCCGTGTGCCTGTGTTCGTGTGTGGTAATTCTAGCCACTAAGCGACTAGTTTCAAACTCAGTATATATGTTTTATAAGAGAAGTAGATACTGAGTCGTCCTGGGGAGCCTGATATCTGAATTATTTTGTGTTGTCTATTTAAAAAAAAAAATCAGTATAGGTATCATAGGCTAAATGTTTGCAACATTAAGCAACACTAAAAATCCAAATGGATGGTGGTCTTTACCAAGTTAGTGCGTACCGCGTACTGGTCTTATGGCTCATGTTGATAATTTCTTTCAAGAGAGAGCCAACTGCTGATCAAATCAACGTGATTTTGTCCAATGTCACAAAAGCAAAGGGCAGCTTCTGCACAAGAGCCTGCAGAACAGTATTTTAAAAAGATTTCTGTTGGAAAAGCAACATAAATGCAGGCCACGATGCCGGGATCTGCCCATTAGTTACAGACATGGAGAGCTTTCTGTGAATCGTGTTCTCAGCAGCAGCCTTACAGAGGGGAAGGGCTCTTTCTCCCAGAGGTGATGTGTGTTTTTAAAAACAAAACAAAAACCAAAAAAGCGCAAACCAGCCTCTTAAAGCTTGGGTGTCTTCTGCAGTATTGCAAGGGAGATACTTGTTCGTTGTAGCCGATTGTTTTTTTTTCTGTGATCTGGTTATTTTTATTTAAATCGACTGAAACTCGCCCTTCTGATAGGTGTGAGAGGATTTTCCTTTTCCTCAAAGGATGGTTGTTGCATTGCTGCTTTATTGGTTTGCTTTTTCTCAGTAACTTCGAATAACTATTTCACCAGGCTCACTTCTGCAGACCCACTTCTCACCCCGACGGTGTTTAAAGGAGCGCGTTAGGAAATCGCCGTATGACAACTTTGCAAAATTATTCGCTGTCGGCGATGAGGCAGAGTTAAAGGCCTTTAAAAAAACAAAACAAAACAAAACACAAAAACTTGACCCGCAGCTTTGTGTGGCAACAGGCCAGGGATTGGGGACGGTGCTCCCAGAAGGGTTTCGTTGCCGGCGGCGCCGGGGAGCAGCCTCCTCCCGCCGGCGGCTCGGCCCCTGCCGGGCTCGGCCCCGCTCCGCGCTGCCCCCGGCCGCCGTCGAGATGTGGGGCGCGGTACAGCTCCTCGCCTTTTTCCTCTGCGCCTCTCGGTGGAGTATTTCGTGCCCTCTAGTGATGGCGGAGAGGAATTACCAGAAGGTTTGTTTTTTTTGTTTTTTTTTTGTTTTTTTTTTTTTTCCAGGGGGTGTTCATTCACGTAGCAAGAGAAACTGGGTACCGGGAAGAGGGAGGAATCTAGTGCTTCCCAACCTCTGGAAGGTGGGAGGAGAACTACTGTAACTTCTCTTGCTTCTGCATAACGTGCCTGTGATCTGTAAGAGATCTCGCTTTACCGAGATTTTTCTGCCCGGGGCGGTTTCACTTTCTGTCTCGGGTACGAGGTGGCTCTCCAAGAGCTGGGGAATTCTGAGCGGGATAAAAATCCCCTTCTTTTCCTGAACCTCAGCTGCGCTGGAAGGTGACTGTCTGCTATTGACCAGCTGCTTTTCTGTCAGGAAGTGGCTGTGATTCTTTGCCACCATGTTGAGATCTGCATTACTTCTCCCTTGGGGCAGAAGTCTTTGGGGAGAGAGAGAGAGAAAGAGACTTGGCATCAGTTTTGTCTGTCACGTCTCTGACTGAAGGCAACTTAAAGTTTTCTGTGTATTATGTATTGTGTCCAGCCGGAATCAGGTAGTACCTAACCTCTCAGGTGGTGGTACAGAAATCAGAAAAAAAAAAAAAATCAGAATGAGCAAAGACTGAAAAGACTTCGGGTTCTTCATAGTTTCCTTGAGGGATTCTTTATTCATTGTAGCATCCGGATGGTGTCTGGTAAGTTAATGATGGAGCCCACGCCGAGCGATGTGAATATGAAGACAGGAAAGCTCTCCTACACGGGCTGAGTTGCAGTGTGCAGAGGCTGAGGGGCCTGGCAGTGGTTCCTTAAACATAACTGGTATTTAAGTACCTCTGGGTATTTGTGTAATCTTAACACTATTTTAAAACAGTTTTGTTCTCATTCAGTAGTCCTAAGGGGAGATTTCTAAAACGTGTTCCGAGAGGGCTTATTGTGAAGTGAGACGACTCAGTTTTTCTACCTCCTTTCCCCCTTCCCAGTCTGGGATACTCATTGTCTGGTGGGAGAGAGCCTCTCCCTGCAGGCGTTGTCGTGTAAATTTTTAGGCCCTTTAGCCATCATGAAGTGCTTATTTCTTTCACGTGCTTTGGAAATTTTGCTTTTACTTGTAAATGCTTTTGGAAATAACAGCTGAAGTTGTAATTACTAAAACTTGAGTAAGTTTCCAATACAAATGGCAAAGCCATTCTCCACCGAATGCTGGAGAGGTTAGTGTCTCTGGGGCTTGATGCTCAGATGTTGCACTGTAGCTCTTTTGAATTTTGCCAATCTGCCCAGACATCTGAGGGCAGGAAAAAAGAAAAAAACCAAACAAACAAACCCACCACCACCACAAAAACCAAAACAAAACACATGCATGAAGAAGGAGGAAATATCAACTCAGCTATGCGTTACCAGCGTGCTTGGACTCCCATGGTGGCTGTCTGAATGTGCAGCCTACATGTGTGCTTAAGTGTGTCAGTTCTGGAGACTTCAATCCGTTTGGAGCTGTTGCCAGTACCAGCGCCACCCTCCTTTCAATAACCACCAAAGATTGCTACCATTACCCCAGGGGTCTGTAGCTGTTTCTCATGATGCTTTTGGTTATTGCCATGTTTATCTTCCCTGCCTGTGTGAATGTGGTGGTGATTATGTACTGAAATTGCAGTTGGCCTGAATGTTATACTGATGTAGCTCTGATCAGGACTGTACTGGTGTTTAAAATATGACAGAAAGGTTTTTTTTGCCATGACCTGATTTTTTTTCTATATTATTATTTGTGTGTGTGAAGATGTTGTGAGAATGGACATAGCTGTGCAAAGTAGTGGAATTAATGCTTGTTTATGGATATGGATTTTTTTTTTTTTTGTTTCTGTCTGCAGTCTTAAAGAATATCCTCACTTACAATAAGGAGTTTCCTTTTGATGTTCAGCCTGTCCCACTCAGGTAAGAGAGAACTGGGTCACTTCGTGTACAGATATGTATCCGAAAGTGAGCATAGCCTGGGACCTGGTGTACAGCTGAGACACTAGAATTTCTAGAGCTACCTACTTGCTGCATTGCTTTGAGTAAACTGGTTAAAAAAACCCTTTTGAATTCTGATTTTCTAGGTACCACTAAAAATCACGTCCATGCTTTTGGTAAAATCAGTAGTTGGTAGGCCCCTTCATCTCTCTGTATTGTCCCTTGCTTTTAGACTCTGTGCTTTCTATGCGGGCTGAGCTCCTGCAACCTCTGTCATGGCCTGTAGATACAGTTAGTAGCTAATCAGAAGCATGAAATGACATTAAAGCATGTTGCCCCTGCTCTATACTCAGATGCTGACTTGTGAGTTGAAAGCCAGATGATGAATGATCTTTGGTCTCATTCTTCTTTTTCATATTTTACAGGAAGATTTTAGCACCTGGAGAAGAGGAACACTTGGAGTTTGAGGAGGATGATGAGGAAGGAGGAGCTGGAGCAGGGTCTCCAGACTCTTTTCCTGCTAGAGTTCCAGGTAGGGGCACTAGCCTTGCCATGCCAGCCTATGTTGCATGTGTAAGTTCTATCTCTGAGAAGCCCCTTTCTCCACCTGTGATTTGAAAAGTTTGGGTGAGGAGCAACAGGCTAATGTAAACCCTAATGCCGTATTGGAGAACCACAAAGGTGGCCAGTGGATTTTTTTTTTTTTTGTCTCAGCAAACAATATCTTATTGCAAAACAGTTGTATGGATAACCTGTGAGGGTGGTACCATCTACCTCAAATACTTAGCCTTTATTCCTTGTTCAAACTCAGTATTTTCATTCCATGCACTTTCTGAACTGTAGTCTGTGAAGTGTTTCAAACGCATTCAAAGGTAAATTGTGGCAATGTTTCTCCTGCAAGGAGCGTTACATCCTGCTAGAGATGTGGTAAGTTGTTGCTGGTTATTTTTGTGTTGCATCATCTGGTGAGACAGTGGCTTAGACTAAACCCAAGCTCTGAGAGGATAAAGAGGGGGTAGCTTTGGTTTTGATAGCTTAAGTCCTTGTCCATGTGAAAGCACTTGTGGAACTGGATATACCCACAGATTCTAGAGAAGGCCTTCCTGTAACTTCAGCTTTTGACAATTTACCAGGTAAAGCAGGATGTTCCAACAGAGGTTCTTTTGGTTCCTGGTGTAGTTTCTTTGCAGAAGAAACAAGTTTCTAGTTTCAGAGCAGGTTGGCAAACTTTGTATTTAAGGAAGGAGATAACAAGTAAGGATAACAAGTCTTACGAGGAGTGGCTGAGGGAGCTGGGGTTGTTTAGTCTGGAGAAGAGGAGGCTGAGGGGAGACCTTATTGCTCTCTACAGCTACCTGAAAGGAGGCTGTAGCGAGGTGGGGGTCAGCCTCTTCTCCCATGTAACAAGTGATAGGATGAGAGGAAATGGCCTCCGGCGGCGGCAGGGGAGGTTTAGGTTGGATATTAGGAAAAACTTCTTCACCAAAAGGGCAGTCAGGCACTGGAACAGGCTGCCCAGGGAAATGGTTGAGTCACCATCCCTGGAGGTATTTAAAAGACGGGTAGACGTGGTGCTTGAGGACGTGGTTTGTTTGGTGGTGACTTGGCAGTGCTAGGTTAACGGTTGGACTCGATGATCTTAAGGGTCTTTTCCAACCTTAATGATTCTATGATTCTATGAAACTAGTACTGGAATTATGGTCAGAAGAGCTGGGGTGTTGCATTACTTATGCCTGGAGAAAACATGTCTCTGTCCTTAGATTTGAGCATGCTACTGAATATGATCCCTGCAGGCTATACTGATGTAGGTATGCACAGTCTACACTTGTTTATGCTAAGCTCACAAATAGGCTACAATATATTGTGATATTTTATTGCTGACATTTACTATCGTGATCCTTGTTATTTACCATGATAAATCCATTTAGGAAGATGTATTCTGTCTGTCCAAAGTACAGCAGAGAGATCTGGTGGTGAATCAATAAGGCAGTGACCATTACCCTAGTGCCAACAGTTAGAGTGGTACACGTATAGTGGACGTAAAAGCTGTGTGTGTGCTTAAGAAAGAATCTAAGTTGATGATAGATTGAGTTTACAGTTAAATCGCTTTCAAAGAAGTAGGGTAGCCAAACTGGAAAGAGGACAGGTTTGGGGCATATACTTTCTTACAGAATTATTCCTCAGTAAACCCATGCTTTTAAGAGGAGGTGAGAGCAACTCCTGAGCTTACTGATATTTTACATTGTCATCTACTTAATAAACTGCATATCTGACTTTTCTGAATTTTTTTGCATTCAGGTAAACTTGCCCATAGCTACAATAATCTAAACCCCTAAGGTGGTTTTGTACTACTTGAACACAGATCTTGTTTCCCCATTGAATGTAAATTAGCGTGGTGCTTCTTACCTGATTGGAGGTTGGTCTGTTGCTCTTTCTCTGGGTGATGAAGCTTAAACAAAAGCAGTTTGCAGTCTTCTGAAGCAAAGTGGACCTTCCATATTGAATTGACAGAACTGTGTTGCACTCTTTGCTTCTATATGCCTTTAATCCATAGTGCATAACTGTATTGTCTAACTGACCATGGTCTTGTCTTCTACATGCATGGCTTCATCGTTATCACATTGCACCATTCATCTAACCCAGGAGCCAACGAAGGTATGATAACCTTTTAGTATATATGGTTGTTTATTTGATCATGTTCGTGTAGCTGTGATGTTCTTCATTCAGCTCTTAGTTTCAACCCTCAAAATACAATCCTTAGTAACAATCATAGTACTAGGCATCTACGTATCAATCTTCATTTGCCTTCAGTACCAGAAAAAGGCAAGGTCTCGTTTGCTGACACACCTTACATAGCTCTCTAGAAGTTCTACTGGGCTAATACAGACATTCTGACTTGCAGTGTAGCCAAAGGTAGCCGGATTTTCTGTAGTGGAATACGCATTTGATGGGAAATCTTACACAAAGAGGGCTTACATAGTTAGACTTCTGTGCTGTATGGAGCTGAACTGACCAATGGCTTGCTGCCTCTAACAGCAAAGGCTTCCTGCCTTTCTCCTGGTTATATACTTCTTTATTCCAGTGCTGTGCTGGCAATGGATTCTTCTGTGAACCATTTCCATTTGTGAACCCAGCAGGAGACTTGTCACTTTTTCCCCTTTCTCTGAATCGAGGTTTGGAAATGGAGAGACTGAACACCTGTGTCTTGGTGGCAGTGAGCTGTTGGGTTGGCTCACCGTTGTATATCTGAAACGCACCTGTAGGAGGACACTTATTTCATTTGTAGATGTTCCCTTCCCGCTTTGGCAACGTTGCCCTGTGGTTGTGTCTGAAATGGCTGGCAGTTTTCTCATGCAAAGCCTCAGTGTGAGCCTGCTGAAGGCTAACGGGCCCAAGCCACGGTGGCAGACTGGCAGTGCGATGCCCAGCCCCAGTAAAGTTATACCACAGGGAGGCTGCTGTCAGCTGATGGCTGCTATGTGGAATGACTCCAGAAGCTTCAGCAGAAGACCTGCTTGGGTGGTTGCGGCTCGCATGAGACAGGTTACGGTCAGCTGCTTCAGTCCATCTCTGGCCTGGCTGTTCCTCCTGCTGAGGCAGAAAGGAAACCGTGTTCCTTGGAGACCATCGGTCCTACTGTTCTCTTACCTGCTGGAAGTGAGCTTGACTTTTCTGTTCATTGCAACTCCGCAATTTCACACATTCTGGAAAGCATTTTTCAAGAACAGAATAATTTTTCTTAAGCCACTATTTTTATAATAAATGCCAGTCTGATGCACCTTTCAGGTGATTTTTGTGTTAAGTATCCCATCACTTAGTCACTTTGAGTGATGGATAGGAAAACTGAAAGTTACAGTTGTTCTTGGCTCTTGGGGGGCATGTTGCTTTTAGGAGACAACTGAAAGATGGCAGAGCAAAGTTTTGTGCCAAAGAGAAGATGGGCTTGCTTCTACCTTTATTTAGATTGAAATAAGAACTCTGTCTTTGAACATCTGTTCAGGAGAGACAGCAAGATTAACTAGAGCATGTATGCTGCTTTGCAGAAATGGATGCTCTCTAATAAGTTTGCTTTTTAGCATTTCTCATATGTGGTCAGAAGCCTGTCCCATTACTTCAGAACAGTGGGTCCAATTCTGCCGTGATATGTTGTGAAGCGCCTGTAGATGCGGTACCTTGGAGGTCATCAGTCTGCTAGCAGCCAAGACCTGAAATACAGAAACGTACTGTGTCATAGATGTGAAGTAAAGTCTTGCTGACGGTCCCGAAAGAGGGACTGGGTGTGTGAGTGCTCATGAAATCTCACTGAAGCTGTGGCTCTCTGGTTCCAAGAGCAGAATACATGATCCCCTCTTGCAAAGCCAGTCTCTCTAATAGGACAAAAACTCCTTAGTTCTCCAGCTCCTCAAGCAGATCAAGAGGAAAAAAAGTATCAAGGAAAACCCATATTGGACTTGCCAAAGGAAACTATTACTTTGTTTAGATCTCAAGCCTTGGGATAACTTTTTTTTTTTTTTTAATTAGAAAATCATAACTTTAAATCAAACTTGCTCACGAGTCTAAGCATTTTCTGTCTTGGTGCTTATTCATCTAATACTGGAGAGAGGCTTGGTAAGCCTGCCAGTTTTTGCTAAAATCAGCATGAAGAAACCTACGCCATTGTTGATGACAGAACCTTGTGGCTTTTAGGGAGTTTGAACAGTTTGGATTTCTTGCCAGCTGCTCTGTCTTCCTCAGCACTGCGAGGATTCACCTACACTGAACACAAAGTTTTGATGCTAAATGTTCTTGATGCAGAGTTGGGAACTCCTTCCTTAAGGCAGAATGGAACTTGGGGGATGCAAACGCTTTTTTGCCCTTTTTTTTTTTTTTTTTTTTGTAATCTCCTTCCTTTAAGTAGAGACCAGTAGAACTTAGATAATTAAGAATCTGTCTTGTGGTTCCCTTATGCCCAGTGGGATTTGCAACAATGCCATTTTCCTCCTTATTTTCCTAGCCTAAATGTTCAACATGAAGCCAAGTCATGTTCAGTGGGGTGGGACTCCTGATTAAGCGTCTGAACTTCCTGCAACTGCAGATTGAATCCAGCCTCCCAAATTTAATCCTTAAAAATGATGTAAATTTAGTTCCATGCTTGAGTTATTCTGCATGGGAGCAAGAAAGAACACTTTAAACAAAGCTCCTCTCTGTTCTTATGACATGAGTTTTTTGTGAATTCATTGGACTTGAGGCAGTCCTGGGGTTTTTTGGTGTGGGCTTTGAAATCTGTCAGATGATGTTGTGTGTCTGTGCACACAGACTTTCTCATAGTGCTGTGTACTATTGGGATATGAATCCTTGGGCTTGGAACCCCCTACGGAGAACAGCATCTTCCATGAGAGATGATGGGAGAAGCAAGGCCTTTGCTGTAAGATGACACAAAGAGTTAATAATATGCTTTACTCTTTCCAGGTACTTTATTACCCAGATTGCCATCTGAACCCGGGATGACATTACTCACCATCAACATAGAGAAAATTGGTCTGAAAGATGCTGGGCAGTGCATTGATCCTTACATCACAGTCAGTGTAAAGGGTAATGATTTCCATTCCTGGCTCCTCATTTCTCGTTTGGGAAGAGTGCGTTTTCTGAAAGCTGTATTGATTTTTTTTCAACCTGCTGGGGAAAAAATATGTGTTGATACTTGCATTTTCTGTTGTGGACTTCAGGCTTCTGCTTTAATCAAGGGTGGAAAAATTCTGTATTTGAGAGATATTGGGAGGTGAATCGCTGCAGGAGACGTGCTTATCTGTGTGCTCCGGGGTGCCTTCCCCATGCTGGCAGCTGAGTATCGGTGACTTGTCAGACTGTACTTCTCTATCCCAGCTTCTTCAGCTGACTCTTAAGTACAGATCTGTTTGGACTGCTTGTACTCCCCAACACATCTTGGTCTCTGGGCTTTCTGCAGGTGGTGAACCACAGCCCGCTGGCTCCATTCTTTCCCTGTCATTGAACTAATTTTTTAGTAGAGCAAAGATCATTGTACCAAAGTTTAAGGTTTAGAGGAACGGGTATGAAGCTGGGAAGCAAATCCTGCAAATGAAATAAAATATAAAATATGTTTTAGCCTCGGCAGTGAAATATTTCAGGTGAAGCCTGGTGGGCTAACAGCCCCCGCCGCTCTGAGAGGTTCCATAAATCTGGAAGAACCTCTCTCTCTCTGTCAGTCCGGGATAGGCAACATTAGGATTTCTCACTGTTTCAGACGGCAATGTGGTTGATGGCTTTTGCTTGAGGCTGAGATTTTTGGTATTCAGACTCTTTCTAGTGGGAGCATCTGCCTCTTCCCCATTTTACATTTCTTAGCAGGAAGCCCCTGTAGTCAGAATTGCTTACCCTTAACCTGCCCTGCTTGACCTCTGCTTATCTTTACAATCTTTTGAGGTGTATGATTTTTTTTGTTTATCATATAAAAATCTGTAGCTGAGCCAACAGCCTCCAGTTATTTTCAGTTGTGATAGCGACCTTGTATGTGTCCTCTTTAGATGTGCTATTGGATACCAGCCGCAGGGATAAGACACTTGTTAGATGTGTGATCAGGCGCTTCCTCCACCGGACAAGTTCTTTGGCAGAAGTAAGGGTCACGGTATTGAATGTCACTTGAATCTCAGTCATGTTCTCAAACGTCACCTGCCAAAAGAGACAGCTGGAAAGCTTTATCTAATCCCGCTTCCTGTGATGATTTTCCAACGGTGAAACCCTCCACTTCTCTCTGGACCTTTGGGGAGTTCACCTGGTTGAGGTGGAAGCTGGAGCATGACCCTTGCCTTCCCCAGCTGATACAACTGCCTCTTTGTGTTTTCAGTCTTGGAAACGTGCAGTATTTCTGTGTTTACGGTGTTGCCTTAGGTTTGCAGCATTGTTTTTAGATTGTGTAACTATTCTTCGGGCTCCATTTCTCTAGTCACTTGTGGATCTTTCTTTGCCTCTAGTATGCCAGAAAGCTGAGAGACGGGTGACTTCAGTGGCGGGGCTAGCGGGATGGATGTGGGTTTAATCAAATTTAATTCTTTCATGCTGCGTTTCTCTTGGCCAACAGGAAAATACCAGCCCTAATGGGGTTCTAACATTGGATCCTGGAACTTATCAGAACTTGTAAAGCAAACATTCGTTGTTCCTTGCCACTGAAATGTTTGTCTGTCTTAAGTTATTACATATTGTTAAAACTGTTGCTTGCCTCCAGGCCTAGCTCTCATTTCCTTTCTGGAGCTAAGGGAGACTGTATGTTGCTCGGCTTGCTTTCCCAACAAGTCTTTTTGTTAACATGTGGTGCTGTATTTGCAAGCTCCCATAAATGGTGGCTGCCAAGTAACGATGTAGAAAATAGGATCAAGGCGGGGGGGGGCAGGCTATCGTCTAGTCTGCTAATGGTGGCTTTTTATACTTTATTTCTCAAGACTTTTGGTGAGGAAAAGTAGCTCTGGAAAGTCATTTTGTCCCTATTAGGAGTCTCAAGATGCTTAGTAGTTGTTTTCCTTGGTTCTATACTAGGCTGCTCTTCTGCAGGTTTGGAGAGAGGTTTCTTCCTGATGCAACATTGGCGGTCCCGGCCCGCTCCCTGGATGAAGCGCGTCAGTGGTGCCCCAGGGCCCCAGCCTCAGCCTGTACCCCAGGCACAATGCGTGGGCTATGTACTCGTCATCTCGGCCGCGTCGTTAGCAACTTTGCCCCACCTGAGGGAAAGGGATCACTAATGAGAGGAGAAAGAGCAAGGGGACAAATGTACTCGTGTAAACAGCGGAGGCTTAGTGAGAAACGATGTTGTCTGTGGTGGCTTGTGCTTCAGCAGCACAACCGGTGGCTGGCGCTGGCAGCTGGAGTCCAACCCGTGGCCCCACCGTGCCTCGAGGAATAATGCAGGTTGAGTCCAGGCAGCAAAGCAGGGCGTATACAGCTCGTGTAAGCTGTGCCGGCTGCGCCCTGCAGACCCTGGGTGGAGGGGAGTCTTTGGTGTGTATCCCCTTCTGCTGGTTCAGCTGGCAGTTCTGAAGCCCTGCTGGAGTCCTGCTTGCAGAGGGAGTGGAATTCTTTGCAGCAGCAGAAAGAAAAGCGCTCTTCAAAATAAAAAGAGGGATAATTCCAAATTTTCATCTTAAATATTTGTCAGAACTTTACCTGCTTTCATGTGGCAATCAAAAAGAAAACTCACTGACTGTGAAGGGGCCGGATTGCCCCTTTGTTAAGTTTAGGGAAAAATCCAGGTGTGCATTAACTTTTTGTGGAAGTATTAGGAGTGATTCATAAATCTCTTAAAGCAGGACCTTAAAGTCTGAGAAGCTTCTGCCATTCCCATGCTCCTTCTTTCCTGCAGATTTGAATGGGATAGATCTGACTCCTGTGCAAGATACTCCTGTGGCTTTGAGGAAGGAGGACACGTATGTCCATTTCAATGTGGACATCGAGATTCAGAAACATGTTGAGAAACTAACAAAAGGTACGTGGTATCAGAGACCCGAAACAGGGCCCAGGAGCTTTGAAAGTGTAGACACTAGGCTGCTCCTGATCTAATAAACAGGCCGTGCCTGAGCTGCTGCTGCAGGGCTCAAGATCCAGACAGGGATAAAAATAGACCTTTGCATCCTGTCTCTTTCAAATCGGTCATTGCGATGACTTGCAGACGAGGGAGGAATGAAGAGAGATAAAAACGCAGCAATCTGCTCTGCTACACAGGTATTGAGCTGCTTTATGACCTTCTTAGTCATGGGACAAACTGTTACCTGGCTATGAATAATTGAGCGACGAGTACAAGCTCTTGTGAGTGTGATGAGCATTGTAAGAACACAGTGTAGCTTTTGAGTAAATAACGGAAGTGCTGGAGATAATTCTGTCCGATGTATGTAGAGCATCTTAATAGCAGATAAGTTTTCAGATAACCGTTGGCCATAATTGCTAACTTTTCTATTAAACCATTTTCCCCTCTAGGTGCAGCTATTTTCTTTGAATTCAAACACTACAAGCCTAAGAAAAGGTTTACTAGCACCAAGTGCTTTGCTTTCATGGAGATGGATGAAATTAAACCTGGGGCAATTGTTATAGAACTGTAAGTGACTTGCAATTACAGACGCCAATGGCAGAGGAAATGAAGTAGACTTCAGTTACAATGTGTGGCTTGTTCCACCAAGGAAGGTTTCTTGGACTCATTTATTAGATTGATTTCCATAAGGAATATTCCATTTTTAATAAAGAAGGGAAGACAAAATGCTTTTAGGCAAATAAAATGGCTAGAGACTCTTCTGAAAAACTAGGCTATTTCCAAATAAAATGCTGGTGTTTGTAAATAAATTTTATATGAAGCTAACAAATTGGGAGATTTTAATTTTGACCTTAGCTTGAGTGTCAGATCAGCTATATTTAAAAAAAATTAAAAATATTTCAAGTGCCAGAATCTTCTGGTGCAGAACTTCTGTAAAGGAAAACTGATTTGAGACCTGGGATACTGATTTGCAATTGAATTTCACAAACATTTCAGAGCATTGTTGGGTGGTTGCTTTTTCCCCTGCTCTAAGCAGACAAAGACATAAATTAGCCAGTTGTGCGGCAGCGGTTACGACGTGCATGCTACCCTTACTGTGCGGCTGAAGGTCTGACGGAGGTTTTTGAGCAGTTTTTTTCAGGAAGAGGGTGAACCTTGCAATTCTGGGCATCTCTAGGAAGAGCGCTTAGTCCATGCTAGCGGGAGTACTTCTGCAGTACTGAGATACTGAGTGCTGAAGCAGGAGATACTGCATTTCATACGGTCCAGAGTAGTATATCATTAATTCTCCTTACAAAAAGCTCAGATTCATTTTTTAAAATTGAAATCTTTGTTCTGTTAAAATAATAATCCAGAGAAAATACTGGTTTGAGTTTCTTCCTGTAAATCTATTCATTATTGTTGCTTCCAGTAAGTCTTGTCAGATGTATTTAAAAGATTACGCTAACAAGATCTGTACAGGACAAGCTTTCTAGTATGCTTTCATCTTCCTACGCAGCCATTATTAGCACTAGGCTTAATTTACTTTCTTGTGGTTACAGGTACAAAAAGCCCACTGACTTTAAAAGGAAGAAATTGCAACTGTTGACCAAGAAACCACTTTACCTTCACCTCCATCAAACATTGCACAAGGAATGACCCTAGTTGTGAGACTTCTGTGAACTGAACCACGAGTCATGGTAGCTGTGTGTAGTAGCCTTAGCCTTCGAGGGGCAGGAAGACGACTGTATTCATGCCAGTGGGTCAGACGGGACCATCACGCACTGCACAGCACTACTTCAGGGTCAGAGGCAAGCCTACCATTCAACTGCAAGTCTTTCTCAGTACTTTCCAGATACAGGTTTTGTTTGAGAGCCCTGAAATACGTTGACTGCTTTTCCTAATTTTGCTGTTCATCACTTTTTATCTTAACCGTTCTTATCCTTTTGCCTCAAACTCCACCCAAGGATGGAGACTGCCCCTTTGCCAGACCTGTAGCAATAAAGATGTGGCAGGCCTACTAACCTGTTTACACTTGCTGTGCTGTTGTAGTTCCTCTCATCTGCATTTCGGAGTCCTCTGTAGCGGGCTGGGTGGCAGAAGACCGGGAGAAGGACGAGGTGGGGCGGGAAGGAGCCTGAGGTACTGCAAGTGATGTGAAGTGAGAGAGAGAGGAGGAGGCTGGGTCAAGTGGGGTGGCCGCAGAAGAGCTCCGCAGTCGGCTGTTCTGCTTTGGTCGGGCCAGGAGGAGGACAACTGCAGATGAGAACACTGAACTATGATTTTAACAGCCTTGCCTGATCCACTTGTACTGAGTTTTGGATACAATACAGGTTACAATCCTTGAAATCACCCTTACTCCCTAAGAGAGCTAATTTTTCTGTATCTTGTCACAGAGTGATTTGCAAAGGCGGGCGGGGGGACGGAGAGAGGCTTTCTCCGGGGCTTTGTCCTCCTGGCGGTGGGTATTGCACCGTTGTTTCAGTGGCAGCAGGACAGGCCCCTCCGTGTTCCAGTGTCATTTTTCCCGAGCTTTTGATAAAGTGGATCTGGCTAGCAGGTTGACCCACCTTTTCCATGAAACTGCTGTTCTTATGGAAACTGATTGTATGCAGTTTTCTGCATATTTTGTGCAAGTCTGGAAACTTACTCTAAAAATTACCTTTTTATGTAAGTAGATAGGATTATCATTTATTTTCTATATTTTTTGATTTGGTGTGTAATAAGCTGCAGGACATTGGCTTATTTTATGACACACTTGCATTTACCTTTTGACCTAATAAAGGGACAGAAGTAGAACCCAGTCAAATCTTTCATATATTTGCGTGGATATTTAATACAATACTTCAAGGTTTGATATACTTCTTGCATATCTAACTAGTGCCTAAATACTCTGCTACGCTAACAAAAAGACCCAGCTCCCAAAATATTATCAATATTAGGTTTATTTTAAAACAATCTGGGTGCAGGTGTAACACCAGTTCCTCTTTTGTGTCATGTAACCCTAAGATGTCACACTATGCTTTACTGGGAAGGATGTTACTTTTCCTCCTGATATTTGTCTGTCAGGTGTTCAGCGTTTTTGGCTTCACCATCTTGATTAGGATAAGCTATTTCTGAGCGTCCTAATCTTCTTGCCTTCCCTCTGCTCTGGTATAACTAGGGATGAAATTATTTAGGTGTTATGACAAAAGTCAGCAACGCTTCCTCAAATTTCACTGCTGGTTGGAGGGGGAAAAAAAGTGCGATTGAATTTTCCTGTTTGTTTATGGGTCTTTACAATACCCCAGTGGTATTACATCCGATGCGTTGAATCTCAAGCCCTGAAAAAGAGATCCTGACGAGTTATGGAAATACCTCTGACTGCAGCCTTCTGGATGGCAGACAAAAGGAGGATACGTACATTCTTAAAAAATAAATAAAAATCATCTTTTGAACTCTGCAAAAGGATGGAGCAAAGCATGAGTCTATGGCTGCAAGTAAATCTGAGCTCGGTCGATGGCTGTGTTACCTGCTGCTGGTCCCTGCTGGCTCAGGTCTCTTTCTGACCTAGGAACGGGCAGCAGCGAGCGTCCCTGCAACGCGTACGGCTCCTCTCGCTCGGCAAGGGCCGATTCGGCGGCTCTGCCATCCTCCCGTGTCCGCTGGTGTCGCTCACGCCTGCTGAAAGCACCGCGGTCAGTCAGTCCTGGGCTCCCCGTGACTTCCCTGGCGCTCCCGAGGACGATCCCACCCAGCTTTAAGTTGTTAAGGCTAAGGGGGGGGAGGGGGGGAGGGCAAGGGAGGAGACACGAAGCATCGCAAGCTTGGTGTGGGGAAAGGAGAGATCCCGAGCTTGGAGAAAGCGACTTTGAAACGGGAATGTTCATCACTGTGTGTGTCCTTAGCCACTACGGAAACTGAGCACTTGCGCTTGAATTACAAACCCGTGGTTTCAGCTGCCCGACTCTTCCCCAGCTTGTCGATGTCTGCGTTAACTCCAGCGATAGGAAATGTCAACTTTGAAGCATTTTTGTTAAATACACAAGTAGAGCTTTGTATTTAACTAATTGTGAACTACTGGCTGGAGAGCACGACATACCATTTTTAAAGTTGCTTCTATCCTTTGTGTTTTTTCTGTGAACGGTCTTTCACTGAGAGGACGACTCCTCCCCGCAGCACAAGCTCTTTATTGCTTTATGCTTTAGCGATGTTCTAGCTTGCCTCTCACCTTAAATCTAAAGCTTAATACTTGTACTGTAGGAATGTAACAAACACCTCGATGGCAAGTTTAATGGCTGCTTGTACTCTGGCAGTAAAGCTGTAATGGCCTTCCAGTAGGGGTGTTTTATTATTCCTAGTTGTTCTCTCTTCCCTTTTTTTCCCCTCCCTGAGGCTTTCTGTTGTACAGAACACTGTTGAAAAACCTTAGTGTCTGGGTAAGTAAGTAGTCTGCTATGCCCAACGCTACGTACTCGCACTTACATACAGGGACTTCTTCAACCATCTCTGAACACACCTAACAAGCGTAGGGTGGGTTTTTAAAGCTATCCAGGGGTCTGTGTACGCAAACTGACTGAAAGCTATGCGGGTTAATACAGTTTACATAAACCCACTCTGCTTTACAGAAAACTATTTTTTTTCCTTTTAATGCAAGTGAAAAAGGCTATAAAAATCCAGCCCTACTCTGCCAAGGAAGCTGAACCCGTCTTAAATACCGAGTATGACGAAAACTCAGCTCTCAAACCTTGCTTAATGCTGCAAGCCGGTCTTGAAAGCAGAAAGCGATTACGCAGTTTCTTAGTTTCTAGAATCCTGGAGCGTTCACCTGTATTCCCAAGCTACCCACACAACTCCATGAAGCCTTCCAGCTCTGTACTGCCCTTCAGCTGTATCCCTCTCTGTCCTCGTTACATGAAGCGAGTCCGTAAGATGCCAGGCTGGTTCAGCACGAGGGTAACACAGTCATTAATCTTGAAGCAAGGCTGAATAACTCCCGCTGCTGCGATTCCTGAACTTGGTTAAATTACTGAACCAATGTCCTTTCTAAACAAAAAATGGCACTGAAACAAAGCCTTCAGGGTTTAGCAAAAGGAATTTTGCTTTTTATTATAACTTTCCTTTGAATACAGTGTCATTTGTGCTTCTGATCTCTGACCAGACATCTTTTAAAAAAACAAAACAAAACAAAAAACCAAAAAACCACCTCACAGTCCTCATGTAAACCCCTGGCCTACAATAACTGCAGCTTAATGATGTGATGGAGAAGGCAGGTAGGATAGCATTTTACTTAAAAATTATTTCCACAGGAAATGATTTGATTTACATTTTTCACGAAATTAGTTCATTCACCAACTGGTTACAGAGGCTACATTTAATTAAAACTAGCCACACAGGTACTTCCTTTCTATTGCACGTTTAGAGTAGCTTCAAGTCCATCACAAAAAGGTTCTTGCAGCCCAAGAGGATGGATGAGTTTAAGGTGATCATAAATGCACATGTCTGTAGCAATTGGATAAAAATTAATCCTGCAAAAGCTGAAATATACCGAAATGAGACAAATGGCTTCAAATAGAGAACCATTTCCTAAAATCCTGACTGCAGGAAGTGCGCTAGTCCATTCCGTTGAGCTGCTGACCGGACGCTGCAGTTAGGGTTTCTGCGCTGGAGGCTGTGTGTAGTCCTTTGAGGCTGCCGGTGGCGGCGGCGGGCCTGCGGGGTGGTCTCTGGGTCCTGACGGAGGCAAGTCTCTGTTAGGAGAAGGCGTATAGTCTCTGGAACCAGGCGGGGGTAGCCGTGGGCCTGGAGGATAATCTCTTGGGCCAGGAGGACCCAGGGGTCGGAAAGGAGGGTGCCCACGTCCGTAGCCTCTTGGATCTGGAGGAGGCAGTAGTGGGCCAGGAGGCAGATCTCTCATTCCTAAGGGCGGGCCAGGTAAGAAATCTCTGGCAGCCGGAGGTGGCAAGGGAGCACCGCGAACTAGAACGGAAGGAAAACACAGAGTTAAGTGACATCTTGCTATAACCTAAACGGTGAAGCTCCCGACTTGTTCATTTCTTCATTTTTTGGAGCAGCTCTGGGGTAGGTCACTGTCATGTGCAGACTTCAACAGGCCGCGAGTTATATTCCAGTGACTTTTGGCTGCTGGTTTCCGTTTTAGACTAAACAAGGAAAAACACCTTGGCGTTAAGGCAGCTTGAAACCACCCACCTGTCCGAGCTTACTGAACAAGACAGCTAGGCCCCACGAAGCGCGGGGAAGCTGTCTGCTAACGAGTGGCAGATCTCGGTTCTGTAGCAGGCTTCTGAGAAGCGCGGTGGGAAACGTTAAGTTTCAGCACGCGGCAACGCGACCGTACCTAGGGGCACAGGGAGAGGTCGAGGCCCAAAGTGCCCACGGAGAGGAGCTGGCGGCGGTCCATAGCGAACAGGCGGTGGAGGCGCAGGTCCCATCACTGGGGAGGTCATGATGGGTGTCCCCGGGAAAGAAGGTGGGCCTTTGGGACTAGCACTAGCCTGCGCAAGATGAGGTTATGCTTCAGTGTGTTATCTGCTGCATCAGAGAAGTATGGACGCTGCTGAACAGCACAACCACTCGCCCAAAGGCCAAGAGGTGGAAGAGAGGAGAAGGAAAAAAAAAAAAAAAGAAAAAAAGAAAAAACCCACACGCCAAAACACATTAACCAAGTAGAAAATAGGGAAAGTTACTGTGCCATCATTGTCCCTTCACCCAGAACACTGCTTGCACTACCTAGGAGTGAATGCTTGGTGTACCTTCCGAGATGACAAGTTTTCTTTAGCTGAAGCTGTACTAAAGAAAAGTTCAGTCTCTTTTGAAGTGTCCTCGGTGGACACCCCTTTGGTAAAGGGCCTGGCACCTTGAATTACATGTGGAATTGTGCTTAAATACCACAGGTAAGTCAGCTTCTTGGGATTATTGTTGTAGTCACTCCAAAGTGTTTGCCTGCAGTCCTTAACAAGACAGATCTCATTTCCTCAATTCCAGAAAAACCAGACAGCAACTGTTCCATCATTAGAGAAACCTTTTGAGACAGAGGTATAAGCCCTTGGTTAGTTTCGCAGAGCATTTTGTTATTTAGCAGTTCAGAACACCAAGCCTGTTATTCCTGTTATTCCTCTCCAGCACAGCAGAGTAACACCATATTCAGCCTCTGAATACTCACTGTAGCTGGTTCAAGAGATGAAGGTGAATCAGTAGTTACACAGGGGGCTTCAGACTCTTGGGGAGAGGGTTGCTTTTTTTTTTTTTTTTGGACAGCAAATAAGGATAGTGACAGGATATAGACAAGACAGAACACGATACAGTTAAAGAAGCAGCAGGAAGTACAGTGAATCGTGTATTAGAAACGCTTCCTGAAGGCTGGGGTTTTTTTCAGCTTACCACGCCATCCATTGCTGTGGAAGGGGAGGAGGCTCTTGGCCCACTACTGATCAGGGACGCTACAGCAGGCCCGAGATCTGTAGAGAGAGCCACGAATGCATGACTTACCGTGCTGTGGGTAAGGAATGTCGTTTTTCAAATTACATTTCTGAAGTGAAAGAATAACCGAGTAAGTTGCAGTTGGTTGCAGGCCACATAACTTACCAGGAACAGACATCCTTCCAGGTAACTCTGGTGGCCTTCGTGGAGCAGGGGGGCCATCTACCACTGCACCTTAAGGGAAACAAGAACCCCAGGGATCCTAATCAACACGTGCCTGAGCTATTTCTGTATTAAAAAAAATCATCCATCTGTGTATTAATAAAGCAGGTATCAATACTTAACACTATCCCTAGAACCAAGATCAGACCTTAGCGTTCTTGGGTTTGTAGCATAAGAGAGAGTTATCACAGACGGGAAGCTTCCCTGCTTACCAAATTCACCTCTTGAGCCTTCCCTTCGAGGAGCAGAGAGGGGCCGAGGAGGAACTTCTATCATCTGTGTGGGGGATGGATTTCCTCCACTCACAGGTGACGGGCCAAAAGAGCCATCTCTGCTTAAGGGCCCTACGCCAAAGAATAAAAATCCACTTGATTTACTGTTCTACAATGTATCGTAGCCTTATTTTTTTAGGCTATAGTGACTCAAAGACCAAAGTTTTGGGAGGAACAGCAGCATTTACCTCGTCGCGGTGCGACTTGGCGATCGGGTCTGCCTGGAGTTGGCTTTACAATTAACGGTCTTTGAAGCATGACGATTTTTTGGTTTACTTCTATTAATCTAATTTTAAAAAATAAAAGTTTCTTTATTCAAATAATACATGAGTTATATTTGTTATAATGTAACAGTATCATAGGCAAACTGCATTGTAAAATGTTGCAGCTTTCACCAAGAAATCTTATTTTCACCATCGAAACAGTTTAATAGTAGTTTAAAATTAGTAACTCAACTACACACTGCACATTCTGAACAAGCAGGCTAACTGAGCACCTTGCACTGTTTGAGCTCCTTCTCTCCCAAGCAACACGGAACGTGTTCAAAGAGCAATAAAAACGGTCTGCACTGTACTTACTTTTGTCTCAGGTTGGCTGCTTCTCTCTTTTCTTCAGCTAGAGCTCTCTCCGCAGAGCGGGCAATAAGCTATGAGGGAAAATTTTGCCAGCTGCATTAACTGCACCAACCTGAAGTCAAACACAAACTGTTTGCATCAGAAAAGGAAGAACATTCTTACCCAATTGTCATGTGCCTTTTTCTCATGAGCAGCAATCTGAGAAGAAAAGAAGCCTCTTAGCTTATTTTTGTCCAACTACGAGTATGCAGTAAAAGGTGACACAGGAACCAGCAAGCAGGAAATTTACCTGGTTTTTGTAAGATCTCTCTGTTTTTTGCAATTCTTCTTCCATATCTTGGATTCTTTGCCTGTACAAAAGGAAAAGGAGGGGAAGGAGAGAGGTTTAAATGAATCTTCTTCAATAGCTGAAATAAAGGAAAACAAGAGTCTTTAGAAACTGAAGTTACTTGTAAACTTTCACTTCCTCGATGGCCAGCACAGCTTTTTCATCTGCAGCCGACAATTTCTGCTCCTTCTCCTGACGCTCATACTCTTCCTGGGTTAGTTTTCTGCATGGGGGGGGGGAAAAAAATGCACCATATATTCCACCATCCTCTATCTACTACAACTCAAAATCAAGGTAGTTCCCTGCTAACAACGGTACCAGAATCGATAATAATGCGTGAGAATACAGAGAGAGAATAAAGAGAGGTGGGTTTTTTTTTTTTAAGAAAAAAAAAAAAAAGAGACAGAAATACTGTCTTTTGAAACCAACAGAGAAACCCTTTGTGTACAGAACCTGAAAATTAAGGACACAGGGTTGACTGGGAAGTTCTGTCAGCATCTAAAGATTTGTCAGAATCTAACAGTTGCAGACAGTTCACCTCTTCAGATCCTGTAGTTTACTTATCAATTCTACAAATGGCAATCCAGAATTACAAAGGTACAAACAAGGTAATATGCAGAACTGACATCTAACCAAGGGAAATGAAGAAACGAATGTGTAGTGAAAAAAAGGGGAATTTAGGGCCCAGGTGACAAACACATTCAATAATCATCAACTGTGAGGAAAGAAGCTTTTTTCCAAGTGTTGTCCATACCAATTTATTACACGACCAATTTCCACAGTCTTTTTATAACCTCATGGTTCACTAATTTTTTAATTTTGGACATTTTTCTGGAAGTATTTAAGAGGTCCATAATGTGTTTCTAACTTACAAGAGCTATCCCACAAAACTGGAACCATTCAACTAGCAGTAAGTTGACTATTGCTAATAGCCAGTTCAACATAATCCATTTCCTTGGCTACATCTGGAAACAGTTTTCCAGAAAAAAATTGCAGAAAGTCCTTCATTCGAATCACGAAGTAGTAACAGGCAGCGTAACTTCCTAAAAGTTTCGGAAGGAACAGAAATCCTTCAGAGAGGTCAAGAGGAAGTTTTCCTTGAAAGGTGAGCTATCCTTCACCTCTCCATTATGTGTTTATGACACCTGGATCCTAAAGTTATGAGGTCAGGCCATTTCACTACTGAGGTGCTGTACAGCCTCAATTCCTTAGCTTGTCCCAGCCCTGTGCTTCCCCCAGCCTATACACTTGAACCGTGGAAGTTTCAATTGCTTCTCCACTACAATTCCAGCTTTCCTAAAGAGTTTAGCTGAAAAACGTCCCTGAATCCTATCTCAAATTCTCCCCACAAAATTGAGATGCTATTACAGACACTTCAGTAAGTACGTGAATAAATAAATGAGGAATGAACACAGATACACAACTAATTCTTTACTGCTAGCCATTCATTCATCTCATCTATCACCATGACCTCAACCTTAATTTGGCCCTTTGGGAATGCAAAAAGCTCACAAGGCTAAAATACTAAATTTCTACATTACGAGAATTAGACTTATCGAACTGAGTAACTGAAACAAATCTTAATGGCCACTATATTCTACTTGACATTTCTGAACAACATGACATAGCAACCACAGAATTTGCAGATCAAGCCACCCTTTTCCCCTCTCCAGAAGGTGGTGGTGGTTTTTTGTTCTTGGTTTGTTTTTTTTTATGGTAGAAGGCAATATTGTGCATGCAAAGTGACAGTCTTTTTAGAATCTCTGAAATGGTGGAAAAAGTAAAAAAGGGCTTCAACCGTACTGAAGTGGTGGTCGTCACCTTTCACTCCAAATAAAACTTGAAGTTATTTGATCCCACTGAGCAAAGAGCATTTGGACAGCGTATATGACACAACATGCTATGTCGTGGAAGAGTAAGGAAAGGCTTACTTCTGGAGTGCCATCTCCTTCTGCTGGTAAAGTTCACCAAGAATCTCCACCTTCTGCTGTAGTGTTTTGCACTCATTTTCCAGCCGAGCTTTGGCTGACTGGAGTGAACAGGAGTCATGTTCTAATTTTTTTATTTGCTCTGTTGGAGAAGCAAAGGTAGGTGAGGAAGTTGAAGAAAGTTGCATCCGTTATGCCACTTACACGCTCTGTTTCTTTTTAAACTACAAACATCATTTCATCCTAAGCAAGTCTTTTGCTAAGCCTACCTTCCAGCTCATGTCTTGCTGCTACTTCATCGCTCAGTTTGGATTGCAGAAGATTTCTGTCTTCTTCAACTATCGATAACATAGTTTTTACCTGAAAAGAGGAGCAGAAGGTTTATAATCTTAGGCATAGCAGTAATGTGGCTGCATTTATTAGATACCTTGTGCAGCATACCCTGGAGACATCCATCATCTGCTTAATCTGAGTCTTCATCTTCTCACTCTCATTATCTAGAAGAGAAAAATATGTTTGTTTTCCCTGTTTCTTAACCCCAATTCCTTGGACTACAGCTGTTAAAAATAACACTTCCTACATTTTAATCTGGGATAGATCTTTTTACGTGGTCAAAAAAAGGGGGGAGCTGGGGAACAAAACACAATAGCAATTCCACGACAGCACAACAGAACTATAAGATTTATTCCAAAAGGCATTCAGAAGATTCCTTCTTGTCACTTCTTCTAGCCACCACACTAATATTAATACAAATGCAGTATCTGTTATCAGACATACTATCTGAAAATCAAAAAGTGGGAGTTTCCAGCCCACATACACTGTACGGTTAGGAAAAAGGAAAATAAAAAAAAAAAAAAAAAAGACTTCAAAACCAGAGATGTAGCAAATACATGTGCAACATCAGGAATCACAAATTTCCCAAAGAGTTTTGAAAATGTCTATTCCAGTCTTTCAGATTTAAATGATGTGATTATGTAAATTAGTTACCTAACCAGAGGTAAGCACAATACTCATTAAAGATCCAAATTAAAAATAAATGTAGCATAACAACAAAGCTGAGATTCACCGCTTTTGGAATGTTCTTAATTGCTAACCTTTACATGCAATCTTTAAAACTGCGTCATTACACTTACGATACACCTAAACAGTAATCTAAAAGCAATTATAGCCCTTTTTAATGGTCTCTCCCTTCAGTTAGGAGATCGTTTCTGTTGTCTGAGGATTAAAACTGGCAGTCTCTTAACCCGCAGGCAGCCACATGCATAGATTCCCCTTGTTCCCCATATGACGTGACACGAACATACCACCAAGGATGCTTCAGCCACTGTGCCTATCAGCCAGCAGGTAGGATTACTGTACCTGGCAGCTCTCCATTGGCCAGATCGTCTCCTGTGCTCCACTCACGCCCTTCACCATCCTTCTTGGCCTCAGATGCTGAATCCATGTCGAGCTGCTTCAGCTGCATAATGCAGTTAGTTAAAACCTAGTAATGAAATCAAATGTTCACTGAAGGAGAGTCGCTCTGCATTTTGTAAAGTATTCCAAAGTATTTTATGACGTGTAATATTTAAAGCAAGCTTTTTATAAAGAACCTACTTCAATTTCATTTTCCTTGTAGGCGAGTGCTTCTTCTATGTCCTTCTGAGACTTCTGATACAGTTTGATCTGCTCGCTGAGCTCAGTATGCCTCTCACTCCAACCTTCAGCTTCTTTTAGCAGCTGTATGAAGCACCAAGGCAAGATGATTACTTGTTTTATTTTTAGTACAGGACGTATGTAATTAAAGCCTATTTTACTACCAGCTCTGGTGATAACTGATCACCACAGAGCACAGATAAAGGGTAAACTTCACAGTTATCACACTCATCACTAGTCCATTGGTAGAACTGGATGCTGGGAATCTTTCTGCAATTTATATTATTAGGTGATTTTACAAATTTGCCATTTTCTCAGCTAATATCCCAACATGAGAGTCAAACTGCCCGCACACTTCAAAATATGAGGAATTAATTGCAGCCCTGAGGTAATCAAACCACATTCCATAGAAGACCAGCTACTTCACATACAGAGAAAGAAAATAGACAGATATTTACAATTATCTGTAAAAGAACTGCCATGACATTTCAGGGCTAAAGGCCCTCCCCATTTAGCTTAGCTTCAGAATTGCTTTTTGGCAATTCTTTACCATGGCTTCCTTCAGTCCTGAACCCAAGCAGCAATCTCCCAACCATGCAGCGACCACCACATCGGCACAGACTTTCTGTGGAGCTGCTGACAAAAAACGAATCACTGGAACTGGCAAAGCCTTCATACTGAAGACATGTGGCTCACCTGCACAAAAAGCCTGTGCAGGCAGGCGCAAGGGGTTTAAAATTTATCTTGATAATATGAAATGTGGAATTCTGACATGTTAAGAGAATGGAGACACACTGAAGTTATACTCGAGAAAACTAGGAATAAAGCCTTGATATTTCGTTCAAAAGAGAAACACGGTTGCCTGGCCTGGGCGTAACTTACTTGCTCCTTGCTCTTTTTCAGCCTAGCATTCTCTTCCTGCACATGATGAAGCTCAGATTTCACCTTTTCTTCACTTAGTTTAGCTTCATTAAGGGCTATCTGCACCTACATATGAAACAGGAAAAAAAAGACAAAGTCAAACTGTAATGGAGCAAGAGCTATGTATTACCCGGTAATGGAAAAGAAAAAGGTATATATGTGCAAACAACCTGGAATCTGCCAAGCCAGCATTTTCAGTTACTTCCTAGATATGAATTTTCCTGGTACAAGAACCTGTACCTGTGACCGTTAAAAGGGTGTAGATAATGCTTTACCTCTGAAAGCTCTACAGAATGCACACTGATAGCCTCCTGAAGTTTCTCCAAGGACTTCTGAGTTTCAGAGATCTATAGAAGAAAAAGATGAGCAGTGACTTTGTATTAGCCTGGTACACGCCTTAGCCCAAGTGTGTAATTACCTTACCTGTATATTTTGGAAGCATAAAAGGAAAGTCAAAACACCAACAAATTTCCATTTAGAGCTGCCATTAGACCAGCAGCAACACAGCGCTGCCTTATCAGTAAGGCAAGGAACAGAAACACAGAGCACATCAGAATCAACTTCCCTCTGTGACTCTGCCTGTCCGTGTCTGCGAAAGTTCCCTGTACACCTGCACAGTCTAGAACGAAAGTACCACGTGCTGCTGTCATTAGCAACAACCTTTGATCAAAACACCAAAGAACTTGTTGGAGCTTACCATTACCACAGAAAATTAGGCTTTACAAAAAAACCAACCAACCAACCAACCAACCAAACCCCAAAACCAGCCTCAAACCTCTAGACAACAAGAATGACAGGCAGCTGAGAGACCTTCACACTTACTACAGAACTAGATGCTTTCTCTAAGTACAAGAAAATGTCTCTAACCAACCTGAAACCTTTAGACCATATTGTTAAGGAACTTCCCGGCTCTGGCTAGGAAGTATTAGACCAGCCCATGACCTGAATACATCCGTTTGTGTGTGAAAGCACATAACCACACAAGTTCATCAAGATCTTACAAAAAAAAAAAAAAAACAAACAAACAAAAAAAAAAACCTGAAAACCAACCACCCAAGAAAACAACCAACCACAATGCAATCACTAGATTCTCCCCCTTGAGCTTGGGATGAACCTGAAATTACATTTCAGTTTTCTTTTTCAGATGGTTCATCTTGTTTGCTCTACCTCTATCTGTTCACCCATCAGGTTGTGAGCAGCTTTTAGGGCACATTAAGTTAAGGAAAATATAAGACATTAGTGTGATTGTTCTTGCCTTGTTCTGTTTCTTCTCATTCTTTTTTTTCTCTGTTTCAAGCATCGTGTGCAGATTTTTTACTTTGTCATCCAGCTGACGATTTGCTTCTTCTAGTTCTTTGACAGTGTCCTAAAAAAAAAAAAAAAAAAAAAAAAAAAAAAGAGTAAAAGACCAACTAAAGCAAGTTATTTTATTGATGTTTTTGCTTTCAGTACAGAAACTGTCAACTGTTTCTTACCTTAAGCCCTGCAGTTTCATCGGAGAGAACGTCTTTTTGTTCTTGGGCCACTTTCACAGATTCCTTTGCTTCCTTTATCTAAAGCACAGAAACAACCAAACAGAACTGAGGAAATTGTCAATGTAATATTCAGTAAGAATAGAAAATAAAAATATATTAGCTGTTGTATTGACTGTGTCATTAAACCAGTAACAGAAAATTAGGAAGCAATGGATGAGAAACCTACAACAATACCTTTTGATCATATTCTGACATCTTTTCTAAGATTTCTGTTTTTTCTTGTAGCAGGTTTTTAATCTTTTCAGCAAGCTGCTTTTCAGTCACTAGGAAGAAAAAGAAAGCTTACAGTAACTGTACTTCATATCCTGGGTCAAAAAATTAAAAAAAAAAATCAGAGCTATCATTACTATCACTTTAGGGAACATTTTCAAGTAAGGACTAAAGCACAAATCAGGATGGTGTCAATTCCCTGGCAGTCAGCCCTTTCTGCAGGAGTCTAAGCATCTCCAGCTTTCATTTAAAGTTAGGGTTGAAAATAAGACCATAAAGCATTGAACACTGACACAAAACGTATAGCTCTTGCATCCACTTCACAGAAGCTGGTCAGAGAACGCACAGCAGAGCAGAGCAAGGTGCTGGCTATACACAGATGAGGTATGTTCAAGGGAAGAATTGGCAGCGAGGGTGCCAGAGCAGTCTCAGTCCCCGTGACACTCAGGGAGATGCAACACCTTCCCTAACAAACACCTCTTCCTGCTGTATTGAAACTGAATGTTTGGTCAGCAAAGAGAAAAGGATGAAAGCTCTGAAAGACCTACTGGGAACAGAAAAGAGACTGTCAGCTAGCAGACAGCATCAGTAAGCCCCAAGGAACTACACTGCTTTCTAACAGCCACTACTGCTCACAGACATCAAGAGGGCTGTGACCAAGCAACAGTTCTTTAGGCATGCATTTGTTTCTCAACCTAAACAAGTCACCAAACAACCCTCAGGCTTCAACAAAAACCATTAACATACTTAAATTATTTTATTGCAAATTAATTTAAAGAAACATCCAATTGTCATTCTTTTTCAAGTCCCAAACCACCCCCGTATTTGAACATCCCAAGCCCCACCTGCCTCACAGCAAATCCTGCAGCACAAACAGGATGCACTGGTTGTTCCAACTGCATCCCGCAGGGTGCAATGGCAACTGCTACTCCTCCTTCCCCTCCCACACGGGGGCTTCTGGGCCAGAGGGTCCCCAGCCCTTCCTGCTCTGGGGAGAGGAGAGCCAGCAAGCGACTGCTGATGTACAAGACAGCTCTCAGCAATTTAAGGGGGGCAGGAATCCCTGCATTAGCTTGGTCTCCCAATTTTACTACTGTGAAGAAGAGTGGATAATAGATTTTATCACTGGGATTCCAATGCAATCAATTTCTTAATGCATTTTTGTCACTGTTAATATTCCTCCATTTTAGAAAAATATTTTAATAATAACATGAACTTTATCATGCTTGAAGAATGCTTATTTGCTCTTAGCTTTAGTAGTTTCTATACAGTATTACACCAAATAATATTTGGGGGGGAAAAACATAAAGGGGATTGGATCTATGCTTCTCTTTTTTTTTTTTTCTTTTAAGGCGGGCTGCTAAGTAATTTCTACAACACCAATACCAATGTTATTCCCCCTCCAATAATATTTGTTTTGCAGCACAGAAATCTCCTTACACATCCAAGATGGATTTTTTCAGCTCGCCAATTCTGCATTAATTATATAGAAGGAAACTGCAGTATAACTACAATGAAACTAGAGAGGAATGACAGATAAGTAGCATGGTTTGTGAAGGGGAAACAGGCAGAGTTTGTGTGAAGACAATTCTTTCATATTTTTGTTTTGTATTCAATTATGAATTTCAGCGATTGCCCTACTTTGAATTCTATTTCCTCTCCGTTCGGTACACTTTAATTTTATATACTTGAAGCTGGAGAAATGCCCTTGTAAAAAGCGACGTGCTAGCCACAGGAGTATCTGCATATTTAGGTCTACATTTAGAAGGTCCCTTTGCAACTGCACAGCAGGGAGCTTCAGGCTCCCCTCCATCCAAAAAGGCAAGAGGAACTAGCTACTGCTTTTTGTGAAAAGCAACAAGCAAAAGCAGATTTGCTGCTAGTCAGAAAACCACAACAACCTCTGTCCCGCTGCTACTGTACCAATAACCCAATGGATCACATTTACATTGAACAAGTTGGAGTTTTTCCTTGCCTTTTTCTTTAATTTGCAGGTGTGAGCTGCATTGTTTCTCCTAATCAAAGCATTATCAAAAGCAAAATTGAAATCCTCAGATTCAAATAAGTATCGTCTACCAGCCTAGCTTACACCATAACCCCAGACTTAGCATTCTCCTTGAAAGGGAGTGAAGATTGACACTTGGTCCTCTGAAACAATCTTCAAAACTTTTACGTGCCTAAGCATCGAGTACACTGACAAGCACAGAGAAACTTACCTTGATATATTCTACTCTTTACCTACAGAAGAAAAAAAAAAAAAAATTAGCCATAAAAGTGATAAGTAAAAATTTTATTAATTTTTCCTATAGAAAAAAAGCCACCACTTATACATGGAGTAAAGAAGCATATGGAAAACACATCTACCACTGCCAACAAGACTGTTGAATAACACCACAAACAAGCTTAAGCTGTTTTCTAATAAACCTTCTAGGTTAATGCCCTGTCCTAGAGCCTTAGTAAACATCTGTTTACTCAGTCACTAAAAGGATAGGAGTAACTGCCCACATCCAATTTGCAACAAAGAAAACTAAGCCATTTTACGTCAACAGTCATGAACTTGCAAACACAAAACACTTCCATCCCAGTTCTGATCCATTTAAAGCAATGTATGTTTACATGACAGTGGCTCATTTTGAAACTAACACCAGTTAAATAATTTCAGGTTTCTTTTTATGCTGGTATATTAACACTATTTTGCATTTGAAACTGACCTAGTGTATTCAATATCAAAACTAAGCAAGAAAAAAAAAACTACCAGTGTTATTACAGATAATATTTAGTTTAAATGTATTTTCGTCAAGCAAAGATATAGTATTCCACAAACTTCCAGAGCATATCATCACTGAACTGGACAGCTGTACAATAAACTGTCCTATTTGATTTTCGTCTCTCAGTTCCCAAGGAGATGCACTGGTATACTCGAGAGCTGGTGACGGTATTTTTCTTGCACAGAAAATTATCCATGCAGGAAAGTGGAGGACAAATGCAAAGTAGGGA